TTGGTAGGAAGAGCCATTTATAAATGTGTTTTGTTGCTGGGGGCCTGTTGGGGACTGGAAACCTTTTGTTTCCTGGGGCAGCCCGTTTGAACGGGGCCGTCAGGCTTACAGGCCAAGCTGGGGAGGGAAAATGCCACCGGTGTCTGGGAGCGGACCAGCGGGCTCCTCTGGGGCCACAGGGTCTGTTCTAAATCACAGAGAGAACCCCAGAAGCCAGGGCCGACCGAGAAGGCTCCCCTCCCCGCCCCTGCCCTGTGGTCAGCCTGCCCCGGCTGGGACGCAGCTCCCTGGTGTTTTCCTAATGAAGTCTAATGACTGGATCACGCGTGATGGAAACCTATGTGGTGGCAACTGGCAACTGCGGAGGGTGAAAGAGCGAGCAAGCAGTGGAAAACACAGAAACCTAAGAGATGGGGGGCAGAGTCCCCACAAAGCCTCTTCCCCTGATTTCCAAGAGGCAATCCGTGTGTGAAGGAATCTGCGAGAAGGAGTCCATCTTGCAGATGGGAAAACCGGCCTGGGGAATGTTTGGCAGGCCCTGCAGCGTGGCTACCTGATACACATTATGAACAGGGTCACGATTTTGGGGTGCCTGGCGGTGCACACAGACAGCCTTCCTCCCAGACTCCCTTGCAGGTGCGGGCAGCCACGTGACGAAGTTCAGGGGACGCTTGTACTTCACCGCCCTCCTTTCCCTCTGCCTGACACTGAGACAAGACACGGAACGTCAGCACCTATGCTGTCACTGGGCGGATGGAAGCCTCAGATGGCAGAGCCGGGAGGTGGCAGCGGCGGGCACCTCACGGGCTCCGTGGGCCACTCCTGCACTGAGCGTGGTCTACCACTGGGCGTCGAGCAAACCCATACCTTGGGGTGCTGCTCCCACATGAGAAAGAAACTCAGAAAAGTCTTGTGCTCTGTGTCTTGTGGGCCGCAAAGAACAGGCTCTTTGGGAGAACTTGGACTTGTGACAGGGCACTCGAAATCGACGGAAGCTTCTAACTAGAGCACTAAGCAACACGATCAACAGGGACCCAGGGCAGCCAGTTCTGTGTGGCGTGAGGCTCCTTGGTGGTTCAGAACTGCACAGAAGTGTCAACTGGAAAAGCCTCCGGCTGTACAAACACAACTCCGCGTTATTCTAACATCATTCGTCTACCTTACCAGCCGCCATCTGAGGGAACCAGACTGTTTATTCAAGTCACTGTTGTTGGGGTGCTCTGTGGGGCTGGTCTGATACAATCCCAGCAGTTCGCAGGTAACGTTCCTACGTCTCCAATTCCGGTCCCCACACAATGCCCTGGCTTACGTTTCTAGAACGGCAGGCTGGCTTCTCCATTCAGTGGTATTACACTCAGCATGGCCTCAGTCCCAACAGGGGCTCCTCTGGCTGGGTCCCAGCCTCCTCTCCCTCTCTCAACTCCATGCCTTAACCTGAGCCTCCCAGCCACAAATGAACAGCCTTTGGCTCTTCTCTCCAGGCACGCCCCTTGCTGTCGTCTGCGTTCCTGACTGCGCACCTCTCGTTCCCCTTCCTGGAAGGGCTCTGCCCACACAGCCCAGCCAGTGAGCTATTCGTCTTCAAAACCCTACTTAAGGGTCACCTCTAGGAAGGCTTCGATGATACCCTCCTCTGAGTTAACCAGGTGCTTCTTGAGATTATTAGTAGTAGTATTGCATGCATCACTGCAATTAAACGCACTCATGTCATTTGCGGAACTGAACGTGGCCTCTCCTTGATGGGCCCAGAAGCAGGAGGGTTGTGAAAGTCCTGTTCTAGGAATTCCCATGGCATTCTAACAGCCTGGAATGAATAGGGCATTTAAAAAGAAATTATCCATTAGTACCGTAACAAAACGTACAAATATCAACTCTCGGGCAACTAATCCAGGCAAAAATCTGAAGCTTGCCCGGGCAAGAGAATGGTCCCAAAGAGAAAGGAAAGGCTGAGGAATAAGCTCACATGATTGGAAAGGGTTGCTCCTGTGTTTACATCTGAAATAAAAGACTAAAATGTACTTACAAGTTGCCTTGGAGATGCTACCCAAACAGACACCCGTAAATGCTATCAGCATTCAAACGTGAAAAGAAATGACACCTTATCCACTTTCTGATGAAGGAAATATTATTGGACGGAGTGGATGAAGAATCAATAAAACTGAGCTCTAGTCCGGGGTCATTCCCTAGGTGAGGGAACTCGAAAAAGCAATACTATTCATCTTTTCAAAGTATGCCTTTTACAAAACACTCATTAATATTGTAATAATGTTGTATGGTGACAGATGGTGAGTACACTTATTATGGTGAGTGTGGTGTAATGTACAGAATTGTTGAACCACTACATTGCACACCTGAAACTAATATAACACTGTATGTCAAGCATACTACAATAGTAAGCAAATAAACACACACACACACAGAATACAGGTCTAAGCACTCTATCAATTAATACGGCATGAGCAAAATTCAGTGGGACCTCATTTTCGTCCACATGTGTAGGGCCAAAGGCCTTTGAATTCTAACTCTCATGGCTCTCTGTAAGGCAACAGCATCTACATACAAATATATTTTCCCCATGGAAAGATGGAAACACATATTTATTTGCGTGTGCCTTTGACTTAGAAACACGGAGATGAAGAATGTGGCTTGGAAATGCGGACCTCTTGTTTAAGACGCCAAGTGCTTTGCCAAGAAGGCAGCCATGCCTAGACATTTGGTATTCTTCTTTGTCTCAGTTCCCATCTCTAAAAATATACCGATGACATTTTTCTCTGACCTTTACCTACCGCAGGGAGTACAGAAAGGACGGGGTGACAACACTCATTAAGGCCATGAACTTCTTGAAAGACAGAACACTCACTCATTGTGGCTGTTGTGTTAGCAACCCTAACACAGTGCTCGGGGTTTTAAAAACCTAGTTTTATTAGGAGATGAAGTTGCCCGTGACCAAGATGCTGTATGACGTCACCCAGCAAACCAATCCAACCGAGGCTGAAAGGCACGGCCAAAAATTACAACTCATTTAGAAGGTGTCTCCACCTCCTCTTGCCCCCAGCACGGTATCACCCACTTATAAAATATTAGATCAATTTTCTCCTTATCCTAAGGAGCAGTTGATGAGCAGTGCTCGTGCCTAGCAAGTTCCAGAAAAACATTTTCAGACAAAATGCTTGGACGATGGAGTAAGGCTGTGTCTGGATGCCTACTCCGTCATCCCTAGCAGTGGCCCGGTGGCTAAGTCACGGACACTCCCTTTGTGAACCCATCACAGTGGGCCACTTGCCCATCTTCTACGAGAGAGTTATGATTTCCCAATTTGCACAGCCGTACCCTGATCTCTTCCAGAAAGGCTCACCGTTTATTTTTAGGCTGCTGTTAGCAGTTTCTGACTGGCCATGGGAATTTTTAACCAATAAAGTCAAAGTTAAAAAAAAAAAAAAAAGAACAACTCCACACCTTCAAGCTGACGATGTATACACGATTCCACTAAAGAAGAGAAATATGGGAGAAGTCTTTTGCCAGGAGGCAGGGCAAAATGATAAGGTAGACCTCATTTTCTGGGTCTTGTTTCCTTTTGCAGTTGTTGCATGAGAGAGTGTCAATCATTTATTCAGTAAATATTTACTAAATGCCTACTTTGCACCAAGAGTTATGTTTGCCCCGAGGCTAGAAACATGATCCTTATTCTCAAAGAGTCCCATAAAGGCAAGGAAGAGAGGGTCACCGGGTGGCTCAGTCGGTTAAGCATCAGACTTCGGCTCAGGTCATGATCTGTGTGAACAAACTGAGGAATCAGCAAGAGACAGAGGGAGGAGAATCCTTTTTTTCAGGAGTTGAAACTCTTATTTAAATGGATAGTATCCCCTTTCCCCTGAGGAAGCAAAAGGCTGTGCATGGTCTGAATCTACATGATTTGACAACCGAACTCTACGGATGTTCACAAAGACAGGTGCTTGAGTCAGCAAAATTGGTGTAAAGAAAGAAATTAAGTCAAACTTAGTTCTACACGGATGTTCTAAGTTAAAACACTGGATCTGTACATTTTGAACACCATCATGATGTCTCTCGCCTTCTTTCTCTCTTCTTCTCTCTCTCTGCACTTCTCAAGTATCTGTGTGTCTTCACAACATGTCGAGTACTGGGCTAAGTACTCTACGAAAAAGAACGAGTCAGAAGATTCTGACCTCGGTAAGAAGTAAAGGCACGTTTTCCTCACAAAGAAGTAACTCACAAGGCAGGGAGAGAGCTAGAGTACCATCAGAGAGATGCAGGTGATATGCAGTCAGAGTCTAGAGCCAGGAGAGAGGAAATCCAGCTAGGAAACCAGGGAAGCCTTCTGAGAGGAGGTGTCATTTCACCTGGGCCTTGAAGGACGGAGAGGTTCTGGGGATATCAGACCTGCGGGAGGAGGGGTGTGCCTGGGCAAAAGCATTCCCGTTACTCCCTTTGACGTGACTGGTTTCTTGTTTAGGAAACAGGCTGCTGCGGTTAGGGCCTGTCTGTGAGGCGTTAAATTGCTGGTCAATGAACGGATGATCATCTTGGGTGGACCACTTTGGGCGTCAAAAGTTTTGCCAGCTTAGTGCCAACACCAGGGAAATACTATGAGATTTCAGGATGAGGAAGTGTGACGTTCTATTTTACTGAAAAAAAATTTTAAGTGTTTATGTATTTTTTGGGGAGGGGAGGGGCAGAGAGAGAGGAAGGGTGAGAGAGAGAGACTCCCAAGCAGGCTCCACGATGTCAGCATGGAGCCTGACACGGGGCTTGATCCCACGAACCGTGAGATCATGACCTGAGCCAAAATCAAGAGTTGGACGCTCAACTGACCGAGCCACTCAGCTGCCCCGAAATGTGACATTTTAGAGGAAAGTCATTAAAGCCGCAGCCTGGCGTGTGACAGAACCACAGACACCCACCCCTGGTAACTAAGACATCTGTCTGAAAGCGACAGCACATCGCTTTTCAAGACTCTAGGGGGTGGCCGGCTCCCCACTTACCGTGGACATGGATTCCATTTGGTTGAAACGACGAGTTTGTTTCTGGCTGGTAAGCCTTCAGGTGTGACGTGCCCGGTGGCGGCTGGGTGTGGGGGGCCTGCGTTCTCTGCAGGACTGAAGAAGCAGCTGGAACCCTCCGGGGGCTGATGTGAGGCGACGGGGCAGAAGACACAAACCTGGGAAAAGGCGTATAAGAGGAAGCGTGAGGGACGTTAAAAGGCAGGAGCAGAGGCAAACCTTTCAAAGCCGAATTCCAACTTCCACACTGGCTGGATCAGAGCGTGACAAAAAGCCCTCAAAAGAGATGGGCGAAGACTTTGCTCTCCTGTTGTGAACCCCTGACTTCTCAATGGAGATACTGAGGGGATAAAAGAGACCAACCAGGGGAAAACGTAGTCAAGCTGGGGTCTGTCAAGACTCTTAAAATGCATTTCAAATACGCTGGCTTTGGTGAAACTCAAAGCACATCTTTTGCCAGGCCCCTTTCTCTGCTAATTTTTAAGCTCGTTTGCATTTGAGGGGAAATTTGATCCTTATGTTTCTGATTCATTTACACTTAGCTCATAAACATTTTGTTCTGTGAGACATGTCCGAGGTCCAAGAAGTGCTACAGGTCTTTATTGTAAGCCTCTCTAACCCTGTTCTCTTTCAACGATACCTTTTCTTTTGCCAAGAATGAGTGAATGTAAACCTCGAAGGTCAAGTGCGGTTTGAGACCCAGAACCCAGGCTATCTGCGTGGGATCCGAGCGTGGCGGAGAACACTGCCCAGGGCACAACGGGAACGCGATGCGGGACACTGTTCACGTTCACACGTGCTAATCATAACAGGGCTGTCAGGAGCTTCTGAGCAGGGACATAGAGTTGTTTAAATAAGGGGACACGGTCCACTAACCTGAGATACAAGACTGACAGCCGTGTACCATTCTTCTAATTGTAAGACGGCAACCGGCAGGGTCTGACTCTCTGTGTCTAAAACGACAGTTGGGACTTCCCAGTGCTGACGGGAAGGTGTCCCCGTGAGAGCAGGGTGTCCACAGGCCGCCGTCAGGAGGGGGCTGCCGCAGGGAACCAGTGCAGTGAAATGGAGTCGCAAAGTAACTGGGGAGTGAACTGGATCAGGAGTGAATTGTTTGCCCCCCTCCCCCAAAAAAGGCCCAGTGACCTGAAAACTTTGGGGTGGCTGTTTCTGACCTCGGGTGAAAAGACAGGCTTTGTTTTACGCTAACCCCATAGAGGCTGCCTGCGGTGTACACGGCTTATTTCACCAGGGCAAGTCCCTTCGCTTTGCTGGGATCTTGTGTAGGGCTGTGGATGGTGAAGAGGGACACGGAACGGGCCAAATTTATAAGGTCATGTGCAGTGCTGGGAATTGGGGGAGTTCACGGGGCCGTGCCTGGGCGTTCGTACTGCGGCAGTAAGAAAGTGCGGGCTGAAGGGCCCCCGAGGAGGCTGCGTGGGAAGGGGGTGCAGGAATCAAGGAAGGGGCTGGACAAGAGAAGTCTCTGGAGAAGGCCGAGACATACCGGCTGGGTTAGATGCCTCTTTTCACTTTGCGGGAGGAGCACAGTAACTGAGTGCCCTGGGCTGGGCAAATACCTATCTTCCAAGCGTGTCGTTCTCATCGGAATTAGCTTGAAAAGATGTGCTGAGTTGAACAGGCCTGAGAGAACACAGAGCAAATGAGCCCTGGCGTTGCCCTGAGAACATCTAGTGAGAACTTGTAGGCCAGGATTCCTCATATGGAGGCGATTTTCCTGGGGAGTGTGTCTCTAATGTGTCTGGAAATGCGCTCTGAAGTCATGGGAGGGGCTGAGGCATTGTGGGATCGCAGACTTCAGGCTAAGAGGAGTCCACACCAGCACTCAGCCCCCGGAGCCTGTGGGCAGGAGGCCCCCAGGGACAGCGGGAAGGGTTTGAATTGGAAAACAACCTGTGTCACTGGCATCTCAGTTTTGGCTCTGGGCAAAGCGGCAAGATCCTCTGACTTGCTTCCTAATTATATTTCTTCATCTGGGAATAAAAGATGCGGCACAGGCTCAATGGTTTTCTGGTCTTTTCTCTGGTACTTCTGCCACTTTTCCTTTCTGTTGAGGACCAATGGGGCAAAGATGTGTAGATGGCACAAGTCACAGTATGTAGCTGACCCTGGTACTGGCAGCTTGATGGAAGAAAGGGATTTTGTTTCCCCCACCCCCCAGCAAGTGAGTCAGACTCATACACGAGGGTTCAATTAACAAAGATAGAAAAGGTAGATGGGGAGGGGGACGGAGGCAGAGACTGTGAGCAATATAAAATTTCATCTTTCTGTAATTTGGGATGATGTGTCTATAGAGTGAACTGTGATTACTAGCTATAAAGACGGGGAGAATTCAAACAACTAAAAGGACAGAATTCATTAAGGAGTCATCTAGAATTTAGATTCCTACAACAGATTCCTACAATAGCTATATATACATTATATATCTACCTATGAATGATATATCTATGTATCTATCTAGAGAGTATATAATTATCTGATAATTACAAATCATTCTTAACTGTTCATTCACACAAGTTCCAAACCCTGGTCGAGCCCTCTTGGCTACCACATATTACATAATGTAATGATGGAGAGCAAAGGAAAACACACGGGTGGTTACCACACCAAGGTGTTAGCAATGCTGATCTGAGAGACGTGGGGGGAATAAAATATAACTACTAAGACTTCAACTCACTCCACATTTTGCTTTTTGCTAATTCCGACTAAAGTTTTCTCCATGTTGTTCAAATAAGTAAGATTATATGGTATAAAGTTAACATAATTTTAAAATAGAGTATGTCACTTCATATCAAGTACTAATAAAAATTTAAATGTAAACTATTCTGGCTGAGATAAATGAACACCTTAAGAAGTCCTTGATTTGGAAAGGGAAAGGACTCCTATGGAAATCTTAAGTTTTACCCATACATAGAAAAGGTGAAAAGTGACAAGATGTGATTACGATTACCCAACAATTGCTACAACCCAGGGAATACATAAGAATTCAGCATGGAGGGGTGCCTGGGTGGCTTAGTTGGTTAAGCGTCCGACTTTCGCTTAGGTCATGATCTTGCAGTTTGTGGGTTCGGGCCCCGCATTGGGCTCTGTGCTGACTGCCAGCTCGGAGCCTGGAGCCTGTTTCAGTCTGTGACTCCCTCTCTCTCTGACCCTCCCCTGCTCACGCTNGGGCTCTGTGCTGACTGCCAGCTCGGAGCCTGGAGCCTGTTTCAGTCTGTGACTCCCTCTCTCTCTGACCCTCCCCTGCTCACGCTGTCTCTCTCTCTCTCTCTCCTAGAAATAAATAAAAATATTAAAAAAAAAAAAGAATTCAGCATGGAAAAGCCCAGTGTAAGAAATGAGTATGTAAATGTGATTAATTTTCAAGTATAGCACATAGATTTAATTTTGTCACTGCTGAAAAATGGTACATGGGATGTTATTGAAAAATCTCTCCTAATCTCTCTACTAATTTAAATTTAATTTTTGTAGACCTGCTTACTAGATAACCAGCTCATAGTACAGTAGAATTAAGCACATCAAAATCAGAGAGGTGAAGGGGCAGGGGAGGAGGGCAGAAGTGGAGGAGCCCTACTGTTAGAGGGAAGGTCCTGGAAGCTTCTGGAACAATCACTGACAACTCGTAACAAGACAGATGCCAGAAACTTTTTTAAAAAATTGTTTTAATGTTTATTTATATCTGAGAGAGAGAGAAAGAGAGAGAGAGAGGCAGAGTGTGAGCAGAAGACGGACAGATAGAGAGGGAGACACAGAATCAGAAGCAGGCTCCAGGCTCTGAGCTGTCAGCACAGAGTGCAATGCAGGGCTTGATCCCATGAACTGTGAGATCATGTCTAGAGCCAAAGTTGAATGTTTAACTGACTGAGTCACCCAGGCACCCCTGGAAACTTTTTTTTAAGCCAAAAGGACTCAAGAAACATGAGTGGTTTAAGGCCATTCACTCCAGAAATGAGCAAAGAACCAAGAACAGGCACACTTAAACGGAAGCTCACTAAGCTCAACATGGCATGTTCACACTGTTACTGAAGGTTGGGTGTGGGTCCTCACAATCCCATTGTCTTAGCCTCTTTGCTAACATTCCAACCTTGGTTTTTTTTTTAACATGTGCACACACACTACAAAATGAATCTGGTCTAAGTACTCTGCCCAAAACAGAGATTTTTAAAATCTTTATTTATTTATTTACTTATTTTTTAATGTTTAACTTATTTCTGAGAAAGAGAGAGAGAGCGTGAGCAGGGGAGGGGCAGAGAGAGGGAGACACAGAATCTGAAGCAGGCTCCAGGCTCTGAGCTGTCAGCACAGAGCCCAACGCAGGGCTCAAACCTACAAACAGTGAGATCATGACCTGAGCCAAAGTCAGATGCTTAACCAACTGAGCCGCCCAGGTGCCCCCAGAGATTTTTTTTTTAAATCCAAAGACCGTGAATTAAAATATTTTGATGCTAAAATCAACAAGTTTGGTGCTGAGTCTAAGTTGCAGTGATTTACAATTTTCCTCCCATGGAAGAGCTCACCCCGCATTACGTCAGGACAAGATGACGTCACTCTAATCCATTCTGAGTTACAGCAGTGTCCGAGAGCCAGAAGAGAGAATGTCTGAAATCTTTCTAGGTCCAACTCTGTTCCCCCTGCTGCTGATCTGCGTTGACATTTCACAGATTTCATTCAACGCAGCTCATCAGTCTCTTTGAAACATTAGAAGATTGTTAATGTCAAAACGCACACAATGGACTATAAAAATTTTTTAGACATCACTGCTTACCAGAAACACTTCACACAAAAGCAACCAGAGAACTGAGTCAACCATTTGTACTCATTTAGTGGAGAAGTTTATGTAACCTCAGCATGAGCCATGGTTCAAAGGTTTGTACCCTTCCCCCAACCTCCTGCCAAAAAACAAAACAAACAACACAACACAACACAACACAACAACAACAAAGCCCAGGAGGGAAACAGGTTTTAAAGGGCTCATAAAAAACCTTCTGGATAAGAAGGACTTAAAAAGGCTTCTATAATGAGATATCTACACACATCTTAGGAAACACCTGATGGGGGTAGTGGGTGACAGCCCTTCCGTTCTGTGGTCTGCTCCCACCCTCGGCTCATACTGAGCCTCACAACCTTGCAGTGAGGT